TCAGCACACACCCTGACAGAACCGTTCCAGAAACTTGGGGCAGCTCCAGAAGGGACAGGAGGCTCAGGGTGACAACCAGGGGCTCTCAGGGTGACACAAGGCCCTCAGAGTGACACCCAGGGGCTCTCAGGGACTCTCCATCCCCGCCTGGAGCAGCTGCAGTGACCCCAGGGCTGCAGAAAAGCAGGAATTTCCCAAGGCCACAATTCACCTGAATTTCTGTGAGAAGTCCTTGACAATCTGGACGATCCTCCCGTCYGTGATGAGGTCCAGAGGAGACTTCCCCCGGTGATTTGCATAATTAATATCAGCCCCCTCCTGTGCCAGGTAGCAGGCGATGGCAGTGCCCACGTTCAGCTCCATGCTGCCCAGGAAGCCAGAAGCCTGCAGCTGGAAAACGGGGAGAAAACTTCTGATCTTCTGCTCTGATTTGTACCAAAATCTTAATTCTGGTATTGATTTTGGTGTTATTGGTAAATAAAGTCTTTTTAATATAAAAATATTTATTATATGTAATATAATATACATATGTAAAAATGCAAAATAGAAAAAAACCTAATCATTATAAATAAAACCATGACTATCTGGAAATGGTGCTGTTTCATTCCTAGCACAATACAACAGTGAAAAAAGGAGGAATGGGTGGTTTCATTTACCCTGATCATTATATATATATATATATATATATATATATATATATATATATATATATATATCTATCTATATATCTATCTAACTCTCTATATAGAGTTAGCTATTTATTATATATATACATATATAGATATTCATATACACATATATACATACACACATATATATATATAAATATGACATCTATATATGTGAAAATATAAAGTATTAAAAAAAACTAATTATTATTAATAAAACCAATACTAAGTGGGAATGGGGCTCTTTCACTCCTATGGTTTTTGAGGCTGGAATTGCCACCTTGGAAAGGAGGGAGGCTCCCATACCCCCCTGGCATTTCTCCACAGCCAGGGCCATGAGCTGCTGGCACTCCAGAAAAATGAGGAATG